TATACACGGAAAAAAAAATGCTGTTAAATTAAAAAAAAATGGAATTGCTTCAATTAAACGTCTACGTCACGGGCTGCCACAAAAATAAATAGTTCATTCACTAGCATATGCGATTAATTTAATGTCTAGATTCTAAAAACAACTATCTGCTATGTATAGTTCAATAATATTGATGTTGCGTCAACAAGATATATTCCAATTAGACCGATGCTGTTGATTTAACATCATTTTTTTTTCCGTGTAGAATCGATGTACATTTTACGCGGTTCGTTTGGTCCCCTTTTTTATTGCAAGCGCATATTGAATGTCATAGTGAAATGGTCTGTGCTTGCGACGCGCACACGAAGCATACATACCGAATTTATGTTCTGTGTCGCGTTTTCGAAATTTCTGTCCCACCGTTACGCGCGTTTGCAAATTATTTGACTACCTACGCGATCTACACTTTTTTTTTTTTTTTATCGGCAATGCATGTATAAAGTAATATACGCGTTACCATATACGAATATTTTACTTTATATTTTCAATTCAATTGTTTTTTTTTTTTTTTTTTTTTTTTTTTTTTTTTTTTTTTTTTTATTTGACGAAAATCTGAGAAAAAAATCCGTATGTTGTCGATACACGTTAATACAAAAAAAAAATATAGCTTGAGGCGCATTCTCTGTTAAAACATCCAAATATTATGTTAACGTAATCAACGTTGAAAAAGACAGAAACACGTTAAATCGCCGCGCGACCCTAGAAATTTCGCGCCATAGAATCGGTGTCGTAAAATTATATTAAACGTGAACGCGAAATGACGTAAACGGTCGTTAAATTAAATCGTCGGTGGATAGTTTGTTTGTTGCCTTTTATGCGAAGAATCGCTAAAATAATTGACAGCGGAAGCGACGCGCTCGCTCGTAATCGAACTAACTTGCACGTGTAAGAAGAAGAATCTTATTGATGTTAAAAATATTTTCTTTTGTTTCTCTCTTGAGATCGCTTGGATTAGGATCTTTATTTACCGACATAAATTACAAATATAATTAGACAGGCTATTAACGGAAATGCTTATTAGCATTGCTCCTTTGTTGATTCGATTCAGCGCCAGGTGCGCTGATATTTATGTTCCCCGTGTGCGGTCTGACCACGAATTTGCGTAACTACTTACGATACGCGTGCACCGCGCGACGGCTGCATCACTTGAAGCATTCGAGTCGCGCGATCGAATCTATATAGTAATAGCTACTGTGTGTGAAAACTTGTTGCGCTTTCCCGTGTTTTTGCTTGAAATGCTTATTTTTGCAAATTTAAATGTTTGCAATCGCACAAAATTTATCTTGTCAAGTACACGCTTTTGTATCCTTCGACAAAAGCGTATAACATTTTCAAGTAATGAACAGAGTATTGGTGTGTTACGCGCGAATTTTTAATTTTAAATATATTTTTGACTCATTTTCTCGTATTATATAAATGCGCCGATTAACCGTAGCTAAGAACGAGCTATGTCACAGTTTAATTACATTTTTTCCACACAATTTGTTTTCGCGAACTCGCACGGGATTCGCTGACGCAGGTGCGCACTCCCCTCTGTCACCCCACCACACAGACAGGCGCTGTTCTCTGTCATCTATAAAAGCGCCGGTTCGCACCGCTTCCCTTCAAATTCAGTTGCTGACCTCTTCGATCGAGATCAAACCTCTTTCGTCGAGATCAAACCGTTTCGTTAAGTTTTCAGCTTACCGAACGCGCGCAGAAACGCGTTCTTAACAATATACATTTTTTCCGTTTTTGCAAAAGTGAAAGAAAACTAGTGACACGCGCACGTTTTAGTTTACTGATAAGTTGGTGAGCAGTTTGCTGATTTCTCTCTTATTGAAGAAAATATACAATGTTTAAGATGTATAAAAGTTAACAGAAAACTTTATTTACTTAACTTAAACTTGAAGTTATTTATTTGTTGAAACAACTCGAAGAAAATATTTTTATATTAAAATTGATTTACAGGCGGCGCACAAGTAATCGCAGATTATCGTCTTTTGTATTCGTTTGATCATTTATAAAGTTGAAAACAGATCAGATGGCACTGATCATGAGAAACTTCTGTATTATGCAAATCATTATGTTGCTCTTCTGCTTCGCCGGAAGCTTCTGTACGGCCTGTAAGTATAATGCAATTTTGTGTTTCTTTTTTCTTTTTTTTTTTTTTTTTTGATTGTATGGTTTTGTAGCTTTGTACAACAAACTTTTTAATTATTTAATGACCAAACAAAAATGCGGTTTTTATTAATGTCCGCTTTGATTACGGGTCTGTTCTTACATTGAAGATAAATGTAATACGACTGTAAATCTCATTTTTATCCTGTTATCTCGTAATCACAACTACGCGGAAACTTGAGCGCTTGTTATAAGAGTATATCAACGTTCATAAAAGTTTGTTCGGAGAAATTACAAATTTATTTACGCATCGAGCAGAAAATAATTTCACAATGCAATATTTGTTCTTTATCAAAAATTATCGAAAATTTTAAATAACAAGTATATAAACTTCTAGCGTCAAGAAAGCACCAAAGTTTCGTAAAAATTAGAATATGTGGAATTTTGTTCTGATTTGCCGTTACTTGATTCATCAGTATAATAATAAAATAATGAAGTTCAACAAAGTAGATATATCTTTTTCGTACAATATACATACGTAATATAACTGATATAAATAAATGTGTCATGTTCAATGCAGCAGCTTGTGTGAGCTTTGGATCGGGTTGTTGGGGAGGTAAGTGACTTTATCAACACTCTTCCTAATACTAGTGCGCAATGAAAATAATAAATAAGTAAGAATGATTAAATAAAAAACTAAAACAACTTTCTGAAGGTAACAATGACTAGTAATAAATAAACAAAAATATCAAATATCTAATAATAAGTAATGTCCTTTGTAGTGTACGGTGATGTATCCTTTTGTTTTACTATTACTGTCTTATTATAATCAACATGTTATAAAACACACTATAGCACACGGAAAGCGCAACAATGTTCAAGATATACCTACAATGCACATCCTGGCGGACAAGACATTATTGAGCGAATCTCCGCAAAACGACAAGGCGTTATGGATTCTTTCTCGTTTAATCGCTAGACGAGCCACGTTGACGGATGATAATCGTGCAAGATGGAAAGATTTTTCTGCAGATAACACATACGACTCAAATTGGCAGATGTCATTGATTAATAATGAAAATGTTGAACCGATCAGGTGAACTTTATCAATAAAGATAGAACAAATATGTAACGAACAGTTTTTAGCTACATTTTTTTAGAAAAATTGAGTTTAAAAAAAAATAATGATAATATTTTGCGGAAAAAATAAAATCGACATTTTACACAAGTTTTTTTTAAAAAAGCTAACTTTTTCATAGATTCTCGTTAGAAGTTGCACATTTTGTTTTACAAACTATTTCTGTTTTACTTTTGTTCTATTTCTGTAAAAGTGCAATGCTCCATTACGATAATTAATGGACGACATTTTTATCACCTCTTGTCGCATTTTTATTAATTTAAAAAAGGATGTTTTTGTATAAAGCTTTTAGAGCATACTTTACATAAAAAATAAATTTATTTAAAAACAGAAATTTACAATTACTATCAATAAACAAAGAACTAGCTATAATCATTATTAAAGTAACGTAACACTTTTGATATATTTCTTTGCAGCTTTCCAATTAACAATGATATCAATGAGAGAGAAATTGCCGATGTTCAAGATGCAATGCATGTTACGAACGAAAACCTTGAAAATATTCCCGAAATCTTGTTAATTTCGTCTAATGATAAACCAGTTCTCATCAAAAAGTAGCTCGACTTAAGTTTTTGGTATGTCTCACAGTTTTATTACTACTTGTTGAACATTGTTAATATTTTTCTTAATTGTCAAGTAAAACCAATGCATTGTTTTTAGAATGAGGCAAACAGGATGTAAAACATAAATAAAATAAAAACGTAGCAAGATATCGGAGAACAAATTAGTGTTTTTAAAAAATCTCTCTTATTGAAAAATGATATAATATAACTTTATATGTGTGTATATATATATTATACACATACATACATATTAAGTTAACATAATATTATTTATCATTCTATATAAATTAAACTCGTATACTTTCAGAAGACTACAATGCCCTCTAATAAAACTTTTATTTATAGCAATTTTTTAATCACAGTATGATTTTGTAAAATATCGATATACCTTTTTAAATTATATAAAGCTTGCTATAAATGTAATATATGTAACATATATTTTACTACTCCGTCAAACACCTGTCAAATAAACTAGAAACTTTGACTTTTTTTTATTAAATCATACACATAAATGTTAGGTACATTACCGAATTTTAATTAATATTATACCAAATTATATACTATACTGAATTATATTTAATTATAATATACTGAAAAAAAAAACAAAGAACGATTAAATATAATATAATAAAACTATACTATACTGTGTTGTCTGAAAAAGTACAACAACCTCAAATATTTTCAGTCTTGAAAGTTTTAACATCGTCATTATTTATTTTACTCGCCTATACTCTCGTACTTCATAATCTTTATACATATCTAATATACAGCAGAATTAGAGCATGTAAAAACACATTTATTGTAATTGTCAACATTAAATCAATAATCAAATAATTCGCATTAAATCATTAGAAATGAAAACTATGAAGTTAATAACGTGTTTTAATAATTCATTTTTCTTGCAAACATAATCAGATTAATGAATAGATATTTTTTAAAAAGAGTCACAATAGAAAATATAATGAATAAAGCTGTTATTGCAATTCAGCAACTGGAACTTAATGATATTTATTTATCTATATATTTATATTCACTTTGCCAACAGATAACTTCTGATACTGCTAACTAGTGTGGCGTATTATCATGTTTGTACGGAACAAATTGTTGTTCGATAGTTGAAACATTGTCCGATTGTATAATATCTTATTGATTTTTTGAAAGCAGACAGTGAGAAACTGCTAAAATTCTTGCTGTTACAACATAACCGACGTATAATTTACACTCTTAATTGTCGGCATGTTTGTGTTTATCTACTGAGATAATATCCGTAACGGAACATTTATATGCGTTCAAAAGATTGCAATTTTGAGAGAAGCTACGTATTATCTTTGTTAGATTAAACAGATAAGTAGTTTTTATAGTAATAATAATAATAATAATCTAACATGAAAGTAATTAAATGTATAGCTGACTAAAATATATACTGTAACATACAATTTATATGAAAATATGAAGATAATTAATACCGATAACATCTAAATATCAAAATCTCTTCCTAGTTTTGTATTTTGCAATAAATTATGTATATATTTTGTGTTTGCACCAGAGAGAAGTGATTGTCACGCGATTATTTGAAGTGTATACGAATAAGTATAAACAATGGTAAGTGTAAATGATAATGCAAACAATGGTAAAATTAATTATCTTAACTAAATACCTTATTATAAGCGCAATAAGAAAATAATTTAAACGATATCAATTTCTTGTCGAATCAGCCTGGTCTTGACATATGCAAGTGTCACGTTTTGGTGTGTGCATCTTTTTTACTTATTAGTGAAGTCCGAGTCTATGCGATGATGTGGACGATTGTGGATTGCTATCTGAAAAATATATAACACTTTGAAAATATATACATTTTGATACAAAAAGTATTTCTAATTTTAATAACTTTGTTTATCTTATATAGCAAAATATTATTTTCTGACGTATTTTTCGTTTTTATTCTTTTATTTTATAATTTAGATTTTGAATGTAGAGACAATTTTTTTCATATCTTTTATAATCATATATATGTGTATATGTAAAAGATATATTATTATTATTGTTATATGTTCAAAAACTGAGTGCATACCAATCGATTAACCAAGGACGATAGAGGAGAAGAGTTGAGTCGTTGAATGTCTTTGCGAATCCGTGTGTAATGCTGGTCTAATCGTTCCCGAAACTCTTCGTTCGGAAGAATAGAAAAAAGCTCGTCGTTTGTCGATGGTATCTTGGATTCTACAAGATTTTGATCAATACTTTTTTCCAATAAACCGCGTTGTATCTTGTTGGATTCTATGAGATTTCGATTGATACTTTCTTCTAACGAATCGCGCTCTATTTTCGAATAAGATCTCTTCCCGTAACCGCCGTAGCAAGCTTGTCCCAAGGTGATACAGTGGATCAACGCTGAAAAACAATGATTGACATTATTTGCAATAAAGTTTTTGTCGGCTCTTATTTATTGAATTCAGTGTTTTGTAAATTCTCAATGTTTTTAATGTGAACGTTAACCTTACAAAAGGTTGTTGACGATACATTTTCACAATAAAAACGACGGCGCGCGGGAAACTGTTTTGACATTTGTATGACATTGTATGTATCGTTTAACATATAACTTTTATCGTACCATGTTTGCGATCGTAATCGACGCTCCTACGGCCGGTATTTTTCAATGTTTCACTTTGTATCGCTGTAAAAAAGAGATTAATGTTAGAAAATCAGTTTTTTTAGAACAGTTTTTTTAAACATTTTCTCCTCTTCGTTTCTTTTCTTACAAAAATTATATTTAAATAATAGAATAACACTTGAAAGAAGCAGTTACAGAGCAAAGAAATCAGATGAAATAAAGATATCAAAGTTAAAACAACTTTCTTTTGAATAGAAAAATAAACAGTAGATATTATAGCAACACACAACTAGCTTTGAAAGTGTAACTCTATCGAGAATTATAGTTGATACGAAAGAGGCTTTTTCAAGAAATACAATCTGTTTTTTTTTTTTTTAAGGATTTACGTATACACGTAGTTAGCTGTATCTTTCTTTATGCCTATCTATTTACTTAATTATCACTGCTCCAAGTGCTGCTAAAACAAATACTCAACGCATTATTTATTTAAATTGTTACAAAATTCAGTTAATCCGAAAATAACTATTTCTATCTCACTGCTGCGAGATCCTTTTTTAATTATAAACGTAAAGCTGACAGACATGTACGTATATTATTTAAATTAATTCTCTAGGAAAAAACAATTTTAACTCTAACAATTTTAACTTCTGTCGTGATATGCACTATATTCACGTACTATAGGTTTTGCAATCTGAAGTCGCAATTTATACGTTTTAATTATAATTCACAAAAAAAGAATCGCCCGTTATGTGATTTCCATACCTGCAGATGTCAATACAAAAAATAGTTTAACGTAAACCTCTTTTAACGTACAGAAGAGTATCGTTATTTCATTTTTTTTTTATTTTGTCATAAAAAAATTATTATAGAATATCCAAAATCTGTACATGTCATCGAGAAATCTGATACCGCACGAATTCAATGAATAAAGACAATCGAATAATTCAATTGTCGCGTCGGTATGTATAGCGTACACTGTGTAGTAAAAGTTTCGAGCAAAAGTATTGTTTTAACATTTCAATTTCAAACAACAAAACATCTTGAGAACAAACGCTGATATCGAGTGTTTCAACACGAATCCGTTGAATTTTAACGGGCGAACGTGTGCAATTGAAAGATTGAATGAAAAATCTTTGCGATTGAAAACAATAAATAAATAATTTGTTATATGTTATACATATAATACGTGAAATTACTCGCAAACAGTGAACAAACAATTCGTTTCCACAAAAATAGTCAATCACTCGAAGGTAATTCTTCGATCGAAGCCGTTTTTGCCACGTGTTACCGCTTTTAAAAGTTTCACAAAAGGATTCTCGGAACGAGAGAGAACTCATTAAACTCACCATTTTCTTTTCTCGTTTTTTATCATAAGTATGCATTGCTCACGAAAATCGCACGTCACAGCCGGACAGTTTGAATTTCGATCCGAGCAGCAGACGCTACATTTATAGTGTGAAATGGACTGGCGTATTGCGTAATTCCATTCTATCCGTGAATGTACCAGAGTGCACTTTACCTCGATACCAATGGCACACGAGTAAGGATTTCGACCGCCTATTTATAAGATTGCCATTTTCGATCTTTAATTCAGACAATTTACGTAACTCCGCGGATTATCTCAGATAACTCTGATGTAACAACGCTGTGTATTTATCTTACATCATCGCGATCCGCATCAAAGTGATCAGCGGCGATACTTATCTCGAGCAAATAATGTGACGCTTAAAATACATCGTTTTGAGAGCTTAGCGTGCGGTAATGCGCTTCGCTCTTTTCTTTATCGCAGAAAAAATAAAGGGAGGAGATTTAAAAAGAAATAAAAATAAAGAAAAAGAAAGTGTGCAGCGACCTTATAAAAAAAAATCGAATACGACGTTAATGAAGTTTTTCCTCTTGTAAAACGTACTTTGACGCAGATCGAATAACGTTGCGGCTCTGAGTGATTTAATAAGAGCCACCGAGTTGGAATGCCAACCATTTCCTTCTGTTACTTAGAACGCGCAGTTTTTTCTTAATTATGCCGATTGATCATCAAAAAAAAAAAAAAAAAAAAAAAAAAAACAAGGTAACAATTTGCAACCGAAATAATCCCTCAGGACTTTAGGGAAACATAAAACTATTGAAGAACATGTTTCGCGTTGGAAATCAAATCTGACCGTAGTGCTGCGGGATCAAAACCGAGTTTTTTTTACGATGAACGCGAACAGGCANAAAAAAAAAAAAAAAAAAAAAAAACGTCAGATGTACGTGTCAAATTTATTTATATTTTTTCGCGCGACATTTACGACTATTGAAGAACATGTTTCGCGTTGGAAATCAAATCTGACCGTAGTGCTGCGGGATCAAAACCGAGTTTTTTTTACGATGAACGCGAACAGGCAACCGATTGGTACGGAACAAATTAGATGCAACAGTCCATTAAATACTGTTAGATGCGTACGTAATGAATTAATCGTAATTAAGGTACTTTATTCTCATTGTTGACGCAATTTTCTGCACATGTTGACATATTTTAGTGCAAAAATATTATACTACATGTAGTCATTAAATTTAATACGTTGTATGATACTTTTTACACAAGAAATCCCATAAAAAAATCAAATGTTTAAGTACGCAAAATTTAATCAAAAGTACGAATCCTTTTCGAGTTTATTTCTCGAGTCTTTTGTTTAAATTCTGAATAAATTCCGCTCCGTCGCTAATCCTATGCTCGTGTACTAACCGATAATCGTGTCACGGAAACGTGAGCAAACAGTGAATGCTATTGTAACATTTTGTGTAGCCGCGAAAGTTAACAGATTTGACATTGCAATGGAGCAACGATACATAATTCGCTTCTACACGAAGTTTTGCGTAGAACAGCAAAACTTCGCGACAGCATCGCTGTAACAATCTATCGCCTGGAACTCAAATAGAAACTGAACGCGGGGACGTGTGTTGTAGCTACGTTCGCGTGGTGTCGTTAGATCTACGGTCTATCTGAACTTCCCTCTCTCTTTCTCTCTCTTTTCCTTTCTGTCATTTATAAAACGTGCCCCCAACGAAACGCGACAGCAAAATCATGGACGTCACTAATTTAATGTCTGTGTTCTCTGACATTATGCCGTTATCATTAAACATGAAGCTCACATAAATGCGACAATTTTTTTAATACATTCACGTTCCCCTGTGTATTTCTCTAGATTGCGATATGTTTATGATTTTTGCCTCGATTGCGTTGAATTTTAAATCAAACAAATTGATATGGGCTTCAATTACACACAAATTATATCGTAAAAATTTAAACATTTACGTAGAATTTTTGTATCGTTTAAACAAAATTTCTGTGCATCACACAGGAAGAATTGGTAATTAGCAAGAATATTAAACAGAGAAATGAGTTTTCAGCGTTACAACAATTTTCCGAGTTATTTTCAATTATGTGTCTTTTGTTTGTTGTCTTAAATACTCTAGTTGATGGAAAACTTCATTATTTCACAACGCGCGTGTGTAGTTTATCGAAATGTTTCATATTTTTCCACGACGTGGTTTTATCGTTGATTGCGACAGTGAAAAACTGATGCGACGTGTTTTCCGAGAAATTATATTTGCAATACTCGTAAGAGTTTTCTGCGGAAGTCTTTTACAATATTGCGCATCCGCGATAAAGTGGGAACGACGACCGGGATCGAGAGACCGTTGTCGATTCGGAAGCACGCGCTATATATAAAATGTGAAAACGTTGTTCAAATTATAGCCTTTGTGAACGCGCGAAATTAAAAAACGCAAAGTCGTACGTAAACACACACACACACACATCAACAAATATTATACTTTTTTGAACGTATTTACTCTGACTTTTCTACACGAAGACATTTTCTAGGAAGCGATGCACTCAAACAAAAAATTTCAGATACCGAATTTCGTATATTTAACTCGCGTTCGGTGACGTGATGGATTGTCTTTTATCGTTTTAATTGCTCGTAATTAGAGATATAAGTTCGCACAACATTTTACGCAATTACAGAAGATACATTAAAACAAACTTACAAAATACATTAAAACAAACATATCTGCAAGTACACTTTCTCAATCTAAAGTTGTTTTTTTCTATGTCATTAAGTTTCACGAATAAAAAAACTTTTTATTAGTTTTTTTTTAAATGAAATAAACTAATTACATGTGCAATTAGAAAACAAATAATTAGTGCAAGATATTTTATACATCTTCGTGGAAACTTTTGTGTCGGATTTGTTACAATTTTATATTATTATGTAAAAATTAGTAAAAGATACAAGAATTCTCTTTTGCGGAATCAGTTTATTTACTCGTTAGAAAGTTAAAAATTTTTTATACACATTTTTTCTGACTTAACGCGTAATTAAAAACTGTAAAAATTTATTGTGAATATTGTTTAAAAAAGAAACACTTTATAAAACCACGTAATAATTTAATTAGAACTGTGTACGATATTTGACGACGTAAATCGTCGTTTTTTTATAAACCAAGATTTCTGAAAATACACGCTTCGTAAGCAACGTGTGCGAAACCTGCTTTGCAATATACGCGCACGTGAAAATTTACGAGTTTACTTAAAAAAACAAACACATACATAAGATAATGAAGAGTACGATTTGAACTTACAATGGAATGTAAATATTAGATTAAATCTGATTGTCAGTGTAATTATGAAAGAGAAAACAAGATTAGGAAGCTTCACTCTGAATGCACGAAGATAAATAATTTATGTGGGATCCTCTTAATAGCAACAGAAAGTGGATACTATAAAAGAAATTCAAATAATTAAGCAACGACACAGAATAGGTTTGAATGGAGTGAGATAAAGCTTTATCAGCGTAGGATCAAACGTAACACATCGGCATTTTGTTTCTTAATAAAAAAAAAAAAACCAAGAAATAACATTAATTCGCATAAAACACGTTTGTTCAGCCTTCAAGTCTTAAGTTACCAAATTAATTAACTCATAGGAAAATAACGAGCATACTCTTAAAAAAGTTATTTTGTTAAAAAGTTTGCTCGGAACTAAAAAGATTTAATATCTCGTCTGGTTTCTGAACTCGTGAAGTTTTTATCGCACAAAGATTTGATTCTGTTCAGTCTGAATCTTTCACACACTCAGAGACACACACGTAAAGTTCATTGCAACGCAAACATTTTGCAAATATAGATCACATTAGCAAATGTTTTGTAGAGATTTTAGAAAAAACGAAGACGTTAATATACACAAAGAGGAAGAGACAAATTACTCACACATGCCCTGCGCCTTCTCGTTGACGGAAATCAAGGTTATTAGTAGGACAACCGAGACATATATCGAAGATATAGAATTAGGAATAGTGTTAGTTCTCATTTCGTCGCGCGAAAATTTTCGATGATTCGAGGTCGATCTAATTAGTAAAGAAAAACAAAAGTCAGAACTCTGCGTGAACGTCGCTCTTTTTGTCGCGATCGCGCGTACGGAATGACACCGGGACGAGATGTTACTTCGTCGAGCAGGTGGTTGTGAATGAACGGTGGTGGCGGCGCGCGTTCCCTCTTTTACAAGAGCGGAAGCCCGGAGTGGCGCAGTCGGAGGATGGTGCATGTTGGGTACGTCAAAATCAAAAGGAAGATATCAACCTACACCCTCGGCATCTTTGAGATGGTGACGACATTGTTATCACGTGATTATGTCATCTTCGATACACGAGTAAGAGGATTGACGAGAGATGCATGTATGTCAAGGCCGCGGCTGTCAGAAATCGCACGTGTCGCAGAAGAATTATTTTTTTCAAGGTCTTTTTTTCGAAATTCCTACAAGAATTTGACAAATATACAAGGTCCCCGTTTATCACAGCTGATGACCTGTGTTTATCGCGTTATTTTTCGCACGCACGTTCCTTCCGATACCGTGTCTTACGACTTAACCTTATGTTTTTCTTTTAAAAAAAAAAGAGTCGGCCGATAACTTCTATTCGAATATTAACCAGACATACTATTTCTTATCGTGAGATAAAATTTGTCGAACACAAAGTTTCATGATTTTTAACGAGCATAGCGGCAATATCCGTCATTAAAATTGGTGAATTGTAATTAGCGTTGACGTTTCTCGCATATGGGAAATCGTCTTGTAGCAACACGTTTCCCGTGGGCGGAAGCTCTTTGCATTGGAAATGCGCCGATGACGCTAATTTCACTGGAAAATTGCGTACCATGTTTTCAGACTGGATTGAATTATTCGATATTTAATTAATCGACACGCGGGAATGATATTCGCGAGGATATTAACATATTTCGATCGTCGTTGACAATCGATGCGGACATCGCTGTTCTTCACCGTAGCGAGATCTTCCGGAAATTTTCTATCTTTCTCTCTTTCTCTTTCCGCACTCGGACGTTGAAACAGAGATTAAGAAGATTCCGAATCGCAATGACCTTTGAAATTGTTTCTCGTACGGTGTAATTTTTGTACATGTAGAGATAAAATCCACTGACGTCGACCTCGTTTTCTCATTGTCAAGCAAAGACAAGAAAAATTTTCTCTAACACTAGTAATGTCAAAAAAAAAAACCAGAAATATTCAGAAAGTCCTTTAAAGTATATTTATCTTTATTTGACAATTACGATAGTTTACAAATAAAAATTTTTTATGTCAAATAATAATTTGTGTAACACCTGACAAACTTCCAACAAATTAAAAAATTGCGTTAGTAAATTTTGGGCGAAACATTCAATATAGCAACGAAAAAGAAGCGCTTTGTTTGCAAAATGCGAACGATAGCGAGACACTTCCTTAATATATTCACGAAAGTTTCGCTTGCGCGAAGTTAACGGAATATTTTTCGCCGACAACGGTTTTTTCAAATCTTGTTTCGTCAGAACGTATAAGTAAAACCTCGCAGTAGTTTTTTCGCAAATTAATAGATCTTCGTTTTTGAAGACAATTCCTTGAGGAAAATTGGATGGGATAATTGTTTTTCGCGCGAAGATAAGCGAGAGATAAGAGAGAGAGAGAGAATATTTCGAACGGAAAATAGACGCCCCTGCGTTAGAATGGAATCGCCGACTGCGAGATGTATCCAGACCGATAAACTCAATAGACCATCCCGCCGCGCTTCATGACTGAAAGATTGAAAATAACTTAAACAATGGCAAGATATTGAGCGAAGTTCGCGCATTGTTACGACCGCGCAGCGTCGCGACTTAGGGACAGAAACACGCGCTTCCAAGTTCCGACTTCCAAGAAGTCGGAAACTTCCGGTCTTCTGTTTATCCGCGAAAAAAATACAAAATTTTTTTTGTCGAGCGACTGTACAATGGCAAATCAAAGGGATCGACAGTGAGGCGCAAATATTTTATCCGAACGTTTTTTTTTTTTTAATTTCCTTTCAATTTCTTTTCGATTTTCTTTTTGATTGTCATGGCAAGTAAGCTAGTGTGTGTGCGCTTTGTTCCAAGATAAGACGAGAAACAATCAAGTGAGAAGAAGCGAAGCGTTTAGATTCTCATTTCACCGGTGTGTGAAATTTCGGAAGCCCAGTTTCGTTATCGCGAAAGGATAGAAACGATCGAAGGATCTTCCGCACGTCACCATCTCCCACATACTAATTAACGAATTTTTATTCTTACTGCGCACTTTCGCTATAGTGCTCTCTTTTTCGCGAATCTGTTCCGTTCTAAATATCTGAAATGGGACACCTTCGTGCGATCTTAAGGTAGTTATTGAGCCTCAGTGGAGCTCATCCACTTGTACTTGTGGCGTACCAACAAGTAAGTGTAGAAAGTAAAGAAAAAATTGAGCACCACTGACACGCACACACAGAGTTCAGCATATATGTGTACACATACACATGTATAAACTTATCATCGTGAACATTTGGTATAGGTTATGATTTGTATTACTTAAAAAATAGTTAAATATTTATTTATGAATCATGATAATCTCCTACATCGTACGTTTTTTTATGCTGCGCGCACTTTCTCTCCTCTCGTCTCTTTCATAACATGTTGCCAAATCTTCACTTACTTATATTTTACAAAACTTTGTCGTCTGCTAAATTTAAAAAATGAGCAACTTCTTACTCGAATTAATATTAAACAAAACCGTTGACACACTTGAAACAAACACAATAGATCCGTAATAAAATTATCTGTATGCTCCTAGTTTTTTAGAAGGATTGTAAATACAGTTTATTATCTAACATTGAAAACGTTACCCGCTAGAGGCTCAAGGAT